CCCATCCCACCAAGCCCCCAGCCCATCCCAGTGAGCCCCCAGCCCATCCCAGTGAGCCCCCTGCCCCGTGTGGGCTCTGGGTGTCCTGACCCCCCTGCCCTCCCCACTTTGGGGGTCCTTAGCACCCAGACCCTTCCCTCAGTGGGGGTCCCGAGCCCCCAGCTACCTGTAGAGCTTGAGGGTGATGGTGCCGTAGACGATGGCGAAGCCAAGCATCCTCACCCAGCGCAGGATGATGCAGCGGAAGATGCTCGGCTTGAAGTACATGATGAAGACCTGGAGCGGCGGGAGAGAGGGATCTCGGGCTGGATCCCGGCTGCCACAGCCTCGGGAAGCACCAGCTTTCCAGGCCAGCCCCGTGCCACCCTCCCCCGTGACCCTGCAGCACCCGCTGCAGCTCCTGCGGGAGGGGAGAGGGGATTTGGGCAGGGATTAATTCCCGCAGCCAGCGGGAGAAAAGGGATTTGGTTTTCTGAGAAGGTTTATACGGGCAGCCCCCAGGGACCGTGCCAGCAAAATTAACAATTAGGTGGAGCCGTGCCCGTGCCCTGCTTGGGGCAGCTCCATCCTGGAAACCCTTCCCAGCCCTGGGGACAGCTGGGACACTCACGGGGAAGTAGAGGAGGAGGGACCCGAAGAGGATGGTCTCCAGCAGGATGATTCCAGACGTCCGGATCCTCTGCAGGGATAGAATTGTGAGGGCCCAGCCTCGGGGGGATGCCAGGGTTTGGGGGGGACACGGGGACACCTTGCCTTGCTCCGTCGGAAGTGGTAGGACACGAGCATGCTGAGGAAGATGGCCAGCATGCAGCAGGCCTGGCACGACAGCACCGCTGCCCGCAGCACCTGGTCCTCCTGGATCAGGCAGGGAGTGTCGTCCTCACAGGTGGCACAGCCCGGGCGGCACGGCTGGCACCCCAGGCGGGACCCCCCGTCTGTCCCGGCCACACCTGGGGACAGAGCGATGGGTGGGTGGGATCAGAACATCTGGGTGGGATCTGCACATCTGGGTGGGAACAGCACATCTGGGTGGGAACAGCACATCCCGAGTGGGATCAGAACATCTCAGGTGGGATCTGCACATCTGGGTGGGATCAGAACATCTCAGGTGGGATCTGCACATCTGGGTGGGATCAGAACATCTCGGGTGGGATCTGCACATCTGGGTGGGAACAGCACATTCCAGGTGGGATCAGCACATCTCAGGGCACCCCCCACACCAGGACACGTGCCCTGTGTCCCCA